ATTTACTGCTAGTGCCCAGTGGGTGGCAAGATGATGACCTGACTGAACACCTCTATGTGTGCCAAAGGAGTGGGTGCCTGTCCATTAGTACAAAATTTGCAAGTGGATAAAGAGCTTTATTTTCTCTTCCACCTGACGCATTCACTGGAAGCTACTGAGATTTCATTAAATATATTTTGCCTTTTTGTGGTTTAGATGCAAACTGACATTAACATTCTTAATCAGAAAGCATCACAATCTTCAAAGAAGAGCAACAAAGTGGGTGAAGGATCTGGAACACAGGTCTTATGGGAAATGACTAAGGGAACTGGGATTGTTTAGCCTGGAGAAAAGGAGGCCTTATTGCTCCCTACAACTGCATGAAAGGAGGATGTAGCAAAGTGGGGGTTGGCCTATTCTCCCAGGTGACAGCAATAGGACAAGAGAAAATGGCCTCAAATTGTGCCACTGGAGGCTCAGGTTGGATATTAGGAAAAAATTCTTTTCATATTGACAAGGTATTGGAATAGGCTGCCTAATGTCACCATCTCTGGAGGTTTTTAAGAGATGTGTAGATATGGCACAGAGGGATGTGGATTAGTGGGCATGGTGGGGATGGGTTGATGGTTGGAGGAGATGATCTTAGTGATCTTCTCCAACCTTAACGATTCTGTGATTCTATGGTTAAGTATCAGAACCTGTTCTTGGTGATGTACTTGATCTGATATCAGAAGTCTCAAAATACATGTGTTGTTTTCAGTTTAAAAGCTTTTGTGCAAGATGTCAGCAATTAGGACAGTTCATATCTATTGGACGTAGCCAAAATAAATGCATAAAATCCAGTGTATTTATTTAATTCTAAACACTTCAGACTGCAAGCAGGGGAAGATCAAAAAATGCCGTATGCATGCAAATGACCACTAAGCATTCCTCTGAGTCAGCAGGTTTCTTCTTTGTCCCCTTGTGGTTCTGTTACTAAGGATTTTATCCATTTTATGTCACACTATGGCTGGCCTTCACTGCAAAAGTTAGATAAAGCCAGCTCCAGTGGGAGTTGTCAGAAGGTAGGAAACTCCCTAGCTAAACTAAGGCTGGTTTACCAGCACTAAGCTAATATTTTATTGCTTGTATTAATATGAACTCTAGCCTAAGGCTAGACCTCCCCCCATACGTAATTGACATACATGTTAGCATACATTGTTTACTGTGGGTGTAAGAAGGAACACTTCAAGGTCAGCTCCTGACTTGCTACTTGATTTGAATTCAAAACTGAGTTGGAATGAATTTCTTTTTGCATGTGAATGGGAATCTGGTCAGGAGCAGCATTAAGTTTCTTCCATGTACTGATGGTAAAGTCAACTACCCCATCAGGGACCCATTGGAACTGCTACCGCAGCCTGGTTCATTCAGTCCAACATCCTGCCTATTAGTCAGCTGCAAACGCTTCAAAGGAAGATTAAAAAAAAGAAATAATTTTGTGGATTAATCCTCTCAAGAGTGGCAATTTCCCTAAGAATTCAGACACCAGTTGGTTTATATCCTGAGCTATCGGGCTTTATTACTTAAAAAAAACCAAACCAAAACAAAAAAAACAACAAACCACCACAACCAACAAATGAAAAACGAATGCTAAATTCCTTTTAATATTACTGTGGGCTCTGATTGTACTTACATTTTCATAAATTTTGCTTTTTTTTTTTTTTTTTTGCCTAATGATATACTATGAGACTTGAAAGGTTAAAGTCATATTATGCAAAACCATTTTCAAAAAACACTTCCTTTGATGTATTTCAGTAACATCAAGGAAGGGCAGTTTTTTAGGCAGAGATAATATCTCGTAATAGACTTACTCGTAGAGTTGAAAAAAAAAAATAATACAACAGTGCTTATTTTCCCTGCTACTTGGTAGGTTTAACAAGATTCCTGCCAACAAAACCTGTCTTGCCCATGCCTTAGAAAAATAAATAAATAAATAAATATCACAGCTAGTATAACTCTATCACTCAAAAAGTATTGTCATTCATTTCTATTATCTAATGCCAGCCTGCACTTCAGGATCTGTTTCCACATGATTTACTAAACATGTTAATTTTGGGTCAACACAAAGAGAAATCGTCACTCTCAATAGCGGGCAGAGCTTTCTCAACACAGTTTCAGATGCTAAGAAAGAGCCATTTGGCACATGCAACCTGATTTGGCTGGGGAAAAGAACTCTTGGCAGAGCTTTCCTTCCCAAGGATTTCCTTTTTTATACCCCTGCCCCCCATCTATTTTTAATCTCATAATGTTTTGTTCTCTCTCTAATAAAAGCTCTGTCACTTGGCTATGCCTGTATATATGCACAGGAGTATTTTCCCATTTCTGGGTCAAAAAGCACGCTGCAGTTACGACTTGACTACAAACTGGGACAAGGCCCAGGGGCATTTCTCTGTTTTTCCTTTGTCTTTCTCCCTGGATATTGTGCAAAATAAATCTGGGTATGTGTCCGAGACAGAAGCTGCAGTGTTCTCCATAGAGGTACCAGCTTCAATACTGGGGACTTAGCTTTGTGAAAAGAATGGTAACATCACCAATTGCTACGCAGCAGGAATGATCAGTGGGCTGCACAAGGCAGTGCAGTTCAAGTTCAAAGATACTGAATGGCCGATGGGACACCTTCCAGTCCTGGCTGGCCACTGGGAACAGGCAGTGGAAATAAAACTGGATGGGAACACATGATTATGATTAACAAGAAGGTGTCAGGGTCCCAATGGCCACAGGTCAGTCTTCAGTCCCATTTCTTAACAGAAATGAGAGATGGGAAACGTGAGGGTTTGCCAGAGCCACAAAAAGAGGCTCATGCAATCTTCCACTTCTTTCCACTATTGGCTCTGTTGGCCAAAAAACCAAACCAAACCAAAAAAAAAACAACAAAGGTTGCTTCCAAACTGACTTCTTGTTCACTGGGAGTTTGATGATCACTAACACCAACACGGGTGGAGGGGAATCCAAAGCCCCATGGCATCATACCGTATGCCTCATTGCTATCTGTGCACCCCAGCTGGCAGGGTCATGTGCCACAGCCCCCTCCACTATCTCAGCTCTTTCTGCATCCAGGGTGGATGTTTCCAACCTGAACTATAGCACAGAGGCAGAAATAATGTATGTTGTGTGTGCACAAGCCCATTAACCTCAGCGTGCATGCAGTTGTAGACAAATGCATGGATCAGCAAAAGACCTGTGGGAAAAGCAGATTCACAAGACCGAAAACACAGGTTAGAATACACTTCAGCAATGGGAGTGGCTACACAATTGAAGCCTTTGCTTGGAAGAACTTATTTCATGCTCAACCAGTTCACCCAGAAAAGGTATTTCCCTATGTCTATCATGAAATCTCTTCTAAGATAACTTGATACCATTAGATCCACAGTAGTAAAGCTCTGGATAAAAGATCCACAGTGCTTGGGAAACCTGAGTGAAAACTGAGATTTTTGTTCTCCCTTTATTAACATTTTTCTGCTACCCTCCCAGCCTTCTCAGATGCATGCATAACTAGTCTACTCAGTCTGAACTTTTCGAAGGGATTTTTTTTCCAAAAGACATCATCCCTGGAAAAAGGGCTGATAGACAGACTGCTGATAACAGGACTTCTGCAGGTGCAGTTGGGTTCCCCTCGTTCTCCACACCTGGCATTCTCTGAGCACTGGATCTTCACACTCCCATTCTCCTCCACGAACCCATAGGCTCTCAAGGCCTCTCCCATCTGAAAGCTCTCCCCTACTCTTCATCTTCTCAAGGCATGGATGAGTAGGATAAAAGAAGAGAAAACAACGCAATTCCAGACCCTCTCTTTCCCCACTGCAGGAGCTGAGGGACGTGTCATCCATAGCCCCAACAGCTTCCCACGCAACCAAGCCTGGGACTTTGCTCCTCAGAGGCTTTAACTCTAATGATGCGGTTTGAGTAATACACAACAAAGGACTGCTGCAAGCACCACAGAGAGCTGCTAGGAATACCTCTGATTTGTGTGCTAAAGCCAACTGCTTTTGATTACCTAAAGAGGTGCAAGTTCTGACCAAGGCATTTCCCATGTCTGAGGAGCTCATGAGGGCTCCCCTGACTATGCATCTGTGGTTGGTATCTGGGCTCCCCCTGAGAGACATTAAAGGAGAAACCAACAGGATATTTCCACTGTTTTGTCTAGTTTTCTATATTTGCAGGAACATAGCACACATAGAATCTCTGTCCCATAGTTGGGAGGCAAGAAGGCTGAAACCTGGTGAATGGCAGAGAAGCGACAGACTTCATATTGTTCTCTTTGGATGCCAGGCTGGCATCAGAGTTCTGACTCCTGTCACCGTCTCAGTTTTCTGCCCAATTTTCATTTTTGGCACAACCGCTGTACCTCACAGCTGGTCTGTAAGTTGGAGGAGTCCTTCTGACTGCAAGAACAGATCCGGAGATTCCAGCTTAATGCATGGCTCCTTCCTGAAGCCCTTAAAGACTTCCTCTGAGGGAGGAAGGTTCCGATAGGTTTCAGCACAACACCGAAAAGCTCACTCCGTATATTTTTGTTAATTTCTCTCCACAGAATCTGTCGGAGCACTCCGGAGACGGGCCCTGGGGTAACTTTTCCCCCAGAGAAGACACAAGGCTCTCCCGATCCCACACTCGGTGCTTTCCATACCCAACCGCCGCCAAGCGCGCTTCAGAACGCGACGCCTTGCCCCCACACAGCCCGCTCGGGCGACCGCACCAGCAACGCGACTGAGGAAAACCCGAGAGTAACCCGAGAGGCTGCGCAGGTGACAGAGCGGAGCCTCGCCGAGCAGGGGGGAAAACCACTTCTCAAAAGCAGCGCGGCCGGAGGGACTCCCTTCAGGCAGAAGGGAACCCCGGTACGCCGCGAGGGGCGGGAAGCAGCGCGCCGGGGCCGGCCGACGGCCGCGCGGCACCCACCGCCCCGAGGCGGCCGCCGCCGCCACAGCCGCCCGCTGCCCCCGCGCCCCGACCGGCGGCGGCAGTTCCCACAATGCCCCGCGCCGGCGCAGGCGCGCCCGGGCAGCCGCTCAGGAAGAGGAAAATGGCATAAACAACCCCGGGCGCCGGGACCTCCGAGCAGCGCCGCCGCCCCCCGCCGCGGGGCCGCCCCAGCGGAGCGGAGTCACCTCCCCTCTTTTCTCCCTCCCCCTCCCGCAGCCGGAGCCTCGGGGTGACGGCGGTCCCCGCGCCCCTTCCTCCTCCTCCCCGCCCCGTCCCTCCCTCCCTCCTTCCCCATGGTGCCGACCCCGGCGGCGGGGCGGCTGCCATGAACCCCAGCGGCCTGCCCTGCTCCTCGCCGTCGCCGGTGCTGGGGCCGCCGGCGGCGGGGGTCGGCGCGGCGGGGCCGGCGGGCGGCGGCGGGGCGGGGGCCGGAGGAGGCGGAGGCGGCGGGGCCGTGAAGCTGAAGTTCTGCCGCTACTACGCCAAGGACAAGACCTGCTTCTACGGCGAGGAGTGCCAGTTCCTGCATGAGGAGCCCGGCGCCGCCCCCGCCGGCCCGGGGCCCGCCGCTCCCCTCGGCGCGCTGCCCCTCGGCCTCCCCCCGGCCGCCGCCGCCGCCGGGCCCGGATACCCGGTGCCTCACGGGGCCAGCCCGGGCCCGGCGGCGGCGGTGGTGGGGCCGAAGAAAGCCGAGCTGGGGGCGGGAGGCGGCGGAGGAGGCGGCGGCGGCGGCGGCGCGGGGCTGGATGGCCCGCGGCTGGCGAGTGAGTACGGGGAGGACGCGCCGTTCGTGCCGGGGAGGCGGTTACCGAGCGTGCCGTGGTGCTACCGGAAACAAATAACAACAGCCATGCTGGCTGGGCCGCTTCCCGGGCCGCCCCCGTGCGCTGCTCCGTCTGAACCCTGCGGGGAGGGCGGCTCGGAGGGGGTCCGGCTGCGTTGGCGGAGGGGAGGCGCTGCCCGGACGGCCGTTCCTTGGGGCGGCCCGGGTCGTGCCTCGTGCGGACAACTTCGGCTGAGTCTGAAGTTGGAAGTTTGGAGCGTCCCCGTGGAAATAGTATTCCGCGCAGAAAAACGCCCGTGGTTTTGTAAATGACGATTCCGTAACGTTATGTGTGCGTGCCGGCTGCTGGAACGGCTCGGTTTGCTCAGCACAGCGCAGCTCCCTGGGAAGTGTCGTGCCTCTTTGCGTGAATGCATTAAGCCTGGCTGCATTATTGATCTGTCATAAAGCTGGTATTTGTTTACTCAGTGTTCACATCCAGGTGCTTTTTTTTCCTGTGTGCGCGTGTGTGAAAGGCAGATGTAACCATGTTGAACTTCCTTCCTGTGTGGAGCTCTCAGTGCTTGATACATGTGTCAGGAGCCCAGGTGGTGAGCTCATGCCATTGAGCAACGTCTGTGCACCGGAGAGCTGGACAGTGCCTTGCCTTAACGCAGCATTGCTGTGTCCGCTCTTCCCGGAGGACCCTGAAACATGGAATTGCTCAATGCTTTCTGTTAAAAGATGCCATCTTTAGTTGTTGATTGTTTTATCAAACTTCAGTTGTTCAAACTGAAGTCTGTTGCTTTTCTTTCCTAGTATACAAGCAGATAGGAAAGATTCACCAGTGATTCCGTCTCTGTTTCTCTTTTGGATGGAATTAGGTGTGGAATACACTTTTAAAAAATGATTTCTTTTTATATAGAGTTAAATCTTGTAAGCTACTGATTTCAGGCTTGGAGAGAGGATGCAGAGCTGACATAGGGACAAAAGCTTTCATATGAAAGATATTCTTTATTTGTTCTCATACAGAAGAATTCTAAAACTTAAGTCCTAAATCTAAGAAAAAAAAGTAGAACTTGTGTGCTCAATGATTGATGTTGCTGAGTAGTTAAATTGTTTGGAAATCATGCTTTGATTGAATATGTTTCAGCCCGTCAGAGGTTTAAGGCTCTGTAGAACTCTCTGCAGTTGCTGCTGATGTGAGTGCAGCAAGAATGGACAAATCACTCCAACGTTATTGACGATTCCCTGCTGGGGGAGTCTCCTCACATGAAGTTACAGGAGGCAAAAGCTTGAGTTGGTAAATGAGTGTCTCGTATGAAAGGATCTGGCTAGGATAAGAGCAAGGGAAGAAAGGAGGGAGAGAGTGATGAAAGGTAAAGAACCATGGAGTGGGCCCAGTCTTGCCTCTGGGCTGCGTTGCTTCGTTTCATGAAGATATTTGTTCAGAATCTGGAGTTGATCTGTATAGGTCCTGAAAGCTAATATCTAAAATTCTTACCTTGCCGATGCCCTGCTGTGTTACCAGTATGATTTCCAAGTGGATGGAATGAAAGCTTTTTTTTTCCTCATGAATATAGAAAACAATACACAAGGTTTCATTTAACCCCAAAGTTCTGAAGTGAAGAATATGAAATGAGAAAGTGCCCAAAGTGCCTGTACAGTCCCATTGCCCATCTTCCCTAATGCAGAAGTATTGTGGCAGTTTTTAGGTACACATGTATGTGTGCTGACTTCTTTCTTTCTCGCTAGACCCCAGCCTCATTTGGTGCACGGAGCAGATGATGCTCATTGAGTAATTAACTGTGTAGTCCTATTTATTATTAAAAGTGGGTCAGTGCCTCCTTCTACCATGTGTGTTACTCTAATCCTGCTTTGAGTACGGGATTATTAATTTACTTATAGGTTTTTCTGTGGTAATCATGGAGGTTCCCCGAATACTGACTTATTTTCACAACATTGGTGATGGGGACACTGAGTGGTAAGGAGGAGAGCAGTGAAAAGACAAGAAGTATTTCAGTGCAGAAGTATTTCAGTACCAGGATATCAAGTGAAACAAGCAGGTGACGTGCTCAGAGCTAACCAACAGATATTTCTTCACACAGTGTGTGGTTAAACTGTTCTATGCCATAGATGTTCTAGATACTAACATCTGACAGGAGGTCAGAAAGTCATCAGATACTATTGGAAGAAAGCTCTGTTTGAGGTTACTAAATTCAACAAAAACACAAAATTCATTTTTGAGTCCAACTCATCTTTCTACCCCCTATGGTTTAGAGCCTTCTGGGTAACCATGCCTTATCCTTGCCTCAAGCTTGTGCTTTCATCTGCACAGGTCACTGCTGTCTAGCCTCAGAGGTGAGGTGGTGAGCTCAGTGTGCCTTTAACCTGACTACTTTGTCTTTTTCTGTTCTTGGGAGCAAGACTACCAGTGCTGATGAACTCCATCCACTTTCAGAATGTAGCATCCTCAGCCCCATAGCATTTGGAGCACAGATGTTCAAAGCACTGTTCCTGCTCCTTCTGTTGGAGGAGTGACTGCTTGGTCTTCCATGTGAGGTGTGCAGTTGGTCAGCTGCAAAATAAGAAACATAGCTTGTGATTACCTGTCTGGAGGTTTTTTCTTTCTTTCTTTTTTTTCACATAGGACCTCTATAACAGAGATAAAGGAAAGAAAAAGCATTGGAAAAAGGTTTCTTCTAATGGACGCAAGTACCAGGTGTCAGTCCAGTTGGCAGGTGGAGCAGCAGTGGTGCCTTGCCTGGGAAGACTGCAAAAGGAGCAGAGATGTGGGAATTACTGTTCCTTGGCATTTAAGGGGAAAGATATGACTGATATGGTTTTAAGGTGCAGCTCAGGAAAGGGCAGGTGAGAGGCATGATGGTGTGAGAAACATCTCACGTCTGCTCTCTGTTGTTTGAACCTTTACAAGCTCTGTAAGGAGCAGTTCAGTGCCTGCATTACTGTGTGCTGATGCCCAAGGAAGGGTCTAAAGAAAAGTGTCATTATGTTAAAATCCAATTGTAAATTTTGCCATAAAACATAGGATATGTGGTGGCTGCTGCCAGTGCAGGCTATTTGCCTGGTGCTGATGTGCTCTGAGCTCTGTGACCCTGGAGCCAGTACTGCTGGCTTGGGGACTTGAGGAGCTGACCATGGGCACAGAGCTGCTGTTGGCTCTTTCTTGGGCTTTCAAGCCTTATTCTGTACAAAAATCCTTAATCTAGGAAACTTGCTTTTAAAACAGATCAGTATTTCCATAATGTGCCTGCGATACTTCCACCAACAGTGCTGCTCTGCCTTTCTCCACAGAGAAAGCCTGTCAGTGCAGGCTTTGTTGCCTGCCTGTGAGAAGAGGGAAGAAAGAATGGAGGCTAGGGTTCTGTTGGGTTCACCTAATGAAAGCATTATTGCTGTTTTCTCACCCTGTAAGTTGTATGTTCTGAGGCTGGTGGCAGCCGTATTGGGTATTGACTGCTACTGAAGCAACTGTGTGCAATGACTTGGCAGTTAGCATGCTGAGACTTATGTCTTAGGTTTGGTTAAATCCATAAGTAGGCTAGGTTTGGGGTAGAAAGACTTATAGAGTTGTGTGTATATTCTGCTTTTTTTTTTTTTTTAATGTCTGTAGGCCTTTACTAGTCTATTCTTCTTTAAACTAAATGAAATAGTGGATGTAGAAAAAAATGGGAAGATAAGCCATTCAGGAAAATAGATATTAAAGGTAATCTGTTGGATTACGCTTCTTAATGCAACAAAACAATGGTGAGGATTATTCTAAATATGGATTTTTATCATCATCTCTAGTAGTGTTTGAGTATTTGCAGCTTGTAGTATTAAGAAACCATCAGTTAGCTTAGACTTTAAAGGTAAATATGGTATGGTATGCAATATACCAGCCTCTTTTCCCCTAGTCCTTCTTTGCTTGCATACGGAAAGCAGCTATTGCAGTTCACAGAATGGCCAGGGTTGGAAGGGACCTCAAGGATCATGAATCTCCAACCCCCCTGCCACATGCAGGGCCACCAACCTCCTCATTTAATGCTAGACCAGGCTGCCTAGGGCCCCATCCAACCTGGCCTTAAACACCTCTAGGGACGGGGCATCCACAACCTCTCTGGGCAGCCTGTTCCAGCACCTCATCACTCTCATAGTAGAGAACTTCTCCTTGACGTCCAACCTAAATCTCCCCTCCTTCAACTTAGAACCATTTCCCCTCATCCTGCAGT